AATGTGAAATGGAGTAGTGAAATCCTGAGGGTACGACGGTATACGGTTTAACGCAAAGTGAGAAATGAACGAAAGAGGGGTTATTTATAGTGGTGTCGTGACACTTCGCCTCCAGGGACAACCGACAGGGGGCTGACATGCATTGAATGCCACTATGACATGACTGATGAGATGTTTCGGGTTTCTGTCGCTTATGCCACGGTGTATCGAAGAAGGGATCAGGACGCTCATGTCTTTTCTCATTAATTACTTTTCGAGAAACGAGGCGATTGTGTGTGAACGGGTAAAACCCGGGCTCATGATATACTCCGGACTCCAACAAGTAAAACGAGATCGAGATATGATTGCGAAAGATCGGGATCGAAGCAAGGATATCCTCGAGCCAGAGTACGGGGGCCGACTATCTACCCTCGATAATATCGGGGTCATGATTCGAGACCAACCTAAAACTTAAAGGACTATGGAGGGCGTCACCGGGTAATCAAGCGCGGCCAATAGGAGGCTGTAATATCCGTGACCGCCTGGATATCACGGCATGGATCTCGACACGTATCGATGTAGAACCGGTGATCAATTAAACATAAGATTTTTTTTTACCTTTTATAGAGTTTTACTTAGAGTAGAATTTTCCTACTATATAAAGGGGGTATGATAATTCATTAAGCATATTGTAGCACTCATTCCAAAGTAATATATTATTATTTTCTCTGTTATTAGTTCTTTCTCTTGTTCATCAGTGCTGGCCATATCGAGCCCGAATCGAGGGTAAATATTTCAATAAGGCTAGATCTATCCTTCTCGTGAGGTTTGAATCTATCGCTTTATATCAAGTAAATCCGCGTATCATTAAAACCGCTTACAAATTTAATTGTTATCCAATTTTGAGGGTAAACATGAGTATTTATCATTCACGAGTTGAGGCTCTATTAGCATTTTCTCTGTTATTGGCTTTTTCTCTTGTTCATCAATGCTGGCCATAGCGAGCCCGGATCGAGGGTAAATATTTTAATAAGGCTGGATCTATCCTCCTCGTGTGGTTTAATCTATCGCTTTGTATCAAATAAATCCGCGTATCATTAAAATCGCTTACAAATTTAATTGTTATCCGATTTGAGGGTAAACATGAGTATTTATCATTCACGAGTTGAGGCTCTATTAGCATTTTCTCTGTTATTGGCTCTTTCTCTTGTTCATCAGTGCTGGCCATAGCGAGCACGGATCGAGTATAAATATTTCAATAAGGCTGGATCTATCCTCCCCGTGTGGTTTAATCTATCGCTTTGTATTAAATAAATCTCCGTATCATTAAAATCACTTATAAATTTAATTGTTATCCGATTTGAGGGTAAACATGAGTATTTATTATTCACGAGTTGAGGCTCTATTAGCATTTTCTAAAGTCGACGTGTAAGATTACGTAAATTGCCAGTATTTTCTATTGAAAGAATTACTAGAAAATACACATGAACTCACACCGTAACAAAAAATGGCCCATATTTTTAAGTTTTATCCAACCTAGACCATATTGTACATATTTTAAAAGTACTAGCAAATTCAAAACTTGTGTTCTTACAATTATTGCTTCTAAAAGCTACAGAGTTAAATATGTGTTCTCACAACCATTGATTTCACTCTCTCTTCTTCTCACATCTTCTACATATGCTTCAAGGGGCCGTCCGCCATTGCTGCTTCTTACCCTGTGTCACCTGGTTGTAAACTTGCAATGTAAGAAAATTAAAGAGTAGAAGTCCACCATTGAAGCCCATTCAAAGCTTTGCTTTCGAAAATAGGATTTTTTGAGTTTGTTAGTTGTTTGGATTGGGTATTATTCCAATTGATTAAAAATATCAAAAGGAGTTCGAAATTTAAATTTGAAGTGATTTGGAGTAGATTTGTGCAAGATTTGAATTAAATTTTAGAAAAGTCGCAAGGAAGAAGACGAAATCAGTTTTTTGTATAATTATGTATAATATTGTATAATAGTGTATATGAGTGTATAAACACATCTATACACTATTATACACTATTATACACTTTTATACAAGCATCTGTAGACGAACTACTTCCACGATTTTCAGTTGCAATTCTTGTTCAAAACCAGTCCAAATCTCCATTAAATGACTTCAAATTTTATATACAACCTCCTTATACTATTTCTAACAAGTCTAAATAATACTCACTCCAAATTTCTCACAAAATTAAATTCGAAATTTAAACCCACATGTTTAAGCTTGTTAAAAATTTAATTTTCACCATCCAAATAGATTTGTTTTGTTGAACTAATAATTGAGTCACAGTTACTGATTCGAAAATTAACTTAAAAGATTGAGCAATCTTTTTTAAAAATTAAATAGTAATTTTTAAAACTTATTGGAGTTGAATGTTGAATCTTAGCCTATTATTTTTGGGCTAGTTGGTTGTAAATTGAAATATGGACTATAAAATTGAAAAGCATGGAGCACAGTTATTCTTATGTGAAAATTTTCCTTTTCTATTCCTTATTCTTGTGAGAGAGTATTACAAAAATATGTAATAAAAAACATAGCATTTCAAATGCGGATTAAATACTAAATTTAGAAGAGAAATCGGAATAGAACGAAGTAAGGAGGCCGGCTATAAAAGAAGGTTTTTAAGGAAAAGAATTATTTTGTCATAATTTGTTTGGCGTAGTGTGACTTTAAAATGTTGACACACAAGATAGTATATAGATAAAATACAAACAGACTCTTGTGCCAAATAATTTGGTTTTTTATGATTGGGAGTTTACAACAAATAATGGAAATATAAAAGTAAAGTAGTCTCTAACATAGAAAACGTCAAATTCTTCTGAAAAAGAATAAAAAATTATTGCCAAATAAATTAGGATGGTAGAAGTGTTATCTTTAAAATAGAGAATTCTCATATACATATACTGCTTCACATACGAGTACAAAAAGGAGCGGGAAAAGTGTGAAAATATTGGGTTTATACGTATTTTTCAGTGGCAGTCTGGCAAAAGAGGAAAGAGCCAAAAGCCACTAAGAGACATAAAATCGTCATTAAATTTTATAGCAAACCTGATTTTTAAAAATAGTTGTCTCAAATTATTTGTGTTCAAAATAAAATTAATTATTTTATTATTTTATTCTTAGTAATAATTATTCCTGAAGATAAAAATAACATATAAATAGAGTAAATATTCAATGAACAGAGATTATATTTTAAAAAATAAATAAAGATAAAATAGTTACAATCCCTTCTAATTAATATTTTATTAAGGAACGACGCTAAAAAAAAATACGACAGATCTCTGAAATCAACAATTGAAAACCCCGATCTCTGCAAGCCTCTTTACGTCACGCCATAGACAACTATTCTTCCTATCTTCCCCTCCTCACATACTAAATTTAGTACTATACGATTTTGCGTATACATTTAATTTATGTATTATAGCAGTGAGGTTGCAAATGTATTACAATATACAGATGAAATGAATTTGAATCTATTAAAATTGTAAAAGTTGTGTTACATAATGTCTGGTTATTAGACAATATCAAACACTTGAAAGCGTAAATGTTTCGTATATAAATTAAACGAAAAATAGTGTTTGGTACGCGCATTGGGCTTCAACTAATTCAGATTCGTGGCGCGTAAGACAATATAATGTATTAAAGAGAAAGATCCAAAATTTGAAGTTTATTGATTCCTACAACAACCTTGAGTTAACATACACTAATAATCGTTGCACAATCAAATACTTATACATACTTGATAATTTTTTAAAAATATACTCTCTTCGGTCCATAATAAGTGACTTTTTTGCCTTTTTATTTTGGTCCAAAATAAGAGTCATTTTACATAATCGTGAAGGAATTAACTTTATTTTTTTCATAATTCGTCCTCATTTACACATCCCAATGTGTCAAGTTAATAATATGTAAATTTTGATTAAAGGTAATTTAGTCAAAATATTTTTTTTTTGTCTCTAGAAGTTAGTGTTTTTTAAGGGGTATGCCAAAAGTCAAAAAGTCACTTATTATGCACAGCAGAAAGTATAAAGTTTGGGTAAAAGTTATTCGGGCCACGTAGCTAACGTGGTGGATCGACCCGCCCATATTAAAGACAAATGTAGCATTTGAATCATTGCCTTAATATGTAACGCTCGTGGTTTGTGTTGATAATAATAAAACAGTCAGTATTGGTCACAAGATAAGCCTAACACATTATGCTCCTCCCTGTCAAAAAACTGCTTTCACATTATGCTTCCTGTAAAAAAAAAAAAAAAAAAAAAAAAAAAAACAGTAAGAGAAGAGCTGTCAATTATTCTGCTAATTAACAATGGTTAAGTCATTAGGGGCGTGTAACATCCTCGTCAGAAGATTAAATATACTGTAATGATTTTTTTCTTTAAAGGGAATGAATATTGCATGATAAAAGGTTTAATTCACGGAAAAAAACACGGTTATGTATTGTTATTAGATAAATATACTCATTTTTTATTTGGAAACAATAATAAAACTCCAATCCCAAACAAGTCGAGTTTGGCTGTATGAATCCTCACTGACAATATTTCTCCCTTTAAACTCAACTCAAAATATAAATGTTAATTCAAAAATAAAACTTGAGTTTAGATAGATGAGATCTAGATAAGAAAATCTTAATTTGGTTGTAATCTAGTATTGGTAATTAGACTAATTAATCAGTAGATCGAAATGTGACTGAGATCATCAGGGAAATTGGGGCCCATATTGAGTGAGAGAAAAAAATTGTACAAAAGTTCTTTAGCTACCGTTTTTTGTTTTGAAGCCAGTAACGGCATTTTGGCTTATGATTGTATTTTGGTTTGTTCTCTTTCCCAGCGAATCATCCCTTGTATATCTCTACTATCTTTTGTCACCCTTCTCCACTTCTCTTCTTATTCAATATTCATACTCCTCAATTCCCAAAACGCCCTTTATCTTAATATAGAATATACATATACATAATTTAGTATACACTATCAGCAGATCACCTAAAAAAAAATGAATGAAAAGAATTACCGTGATTGTTTGCTATGGGAAAATCAAGGGTGCTCAAATTTGAACTCGAATAACTTAGATGGGAGTGAAGAGAAGTTTGCGGGTGACAAGTTGTCAGATCCAAACAGGTCAAATACTAGTTATGATCAGCAGCGGACAACCGCTAAGGAGACTAAAGCGGCTGCCCGCGGCAGAAAAAGAACGGCGAGCGGCCGCAAAGAAAGTGATGAAGCAAAGTGTGGTGGTGAAGGAGAATCAGATCATGAGATACACATATGGACAGAGAGAGAAAGGAGAAAGAAGATGAGGAATATGTTCTCTAATCTTCATGCTTTGCTTCCTCAACTTCCTCCTAAGGTAAAAATTTGTTTATTTAAATAGCAAATGGTTGGTTTTTTGTCCAAATCCATCCATCAAGTAAAGAAAACTGAACGGAATTCATAAACATTTCAAACTTATATATTTTCATATAATTTTTTGTTTTTCTGCCACACCGGCCCCTATTAATTCTTAATGTCCTCCTAAATTATTTTGAAAAATGAATAAATAAAAGAGCGTTTAGAGAAAAAGCTTGTAACAAAAAAAACATACTTTTTTCCACATACAAAAAGGAAAAAAAAATGCTTCTTTGTTTGGTTTGCTTTGGCAATTGCTTATCGCTCTAACAATATGTGATGTTCCAACCTTTCTAGATTGAGTAATTCCAAGGAGAATCTTTGTAGGAAGCTTAATTACTTAAGGGAGACATGATTATATGCGAAAATGAAACTTGATTTCCTTTTTATATTGTATATATTTACATAGTACAAATACGGTTCATTAAAGTTTCAAACAGTTCAGACAAGGTGATATATAAATTCCCCTTATTATATGTATCTATGTGTTGATTACAAATGGAATAATCAATTACATGCACTTGGTTTTCCCACAAAATAAAAGAAAAAAACAATAGAGAATTTCCGAGTTTTTCGCATGTCTTATATAAATGCCTCGTACCAATATTTTTTTATAAACACTATTCATATAAAGAATATTTAAATTATTCATGTATCGCCTTATTTTTCGGGTTACTTGTAAGTAGCAACGTAGAGTTTAACTTAAAACTATTAGACAGTGCAAACAATTACACTACCATAGCACATTTAAAAACCTATTATATGTAACTTTGCAAAACATGGTTAATGACCTCTTTTATACTGTTACTGTACAAAAGTTAAACTCGCATTTATATTTGCAGGCTGACAAGTCCACCATTGTTGATGAAGCAGTGAACTACATCAAAACACTGCAGAATACTCTTCAGAAGCTTCAAAAACAGAAGCTAGAAAAGCTTCATTGCTTAACAGCTACAATGAATAGTAATGATTTTTCGATAATTACTTCACAGAAATTACTAGAGAGTAATAACAGGGAGCTATTTTTGGCTGATCAAGGATCTACCAGTAACTCAACTGCTATTACACCAACCAATAATAATAATAATACAACTCCCCTTTTGAATATTCCAGCAGTATTTCAAACATGGACTTCTCCAAATGTGATACTAAATGTTTGTGGAGAAGAAGCTCATATTAGTATTTGTTGTCTCAAGAAACCTGGAATTTTAAGTGGCATTTGTTTTGTTTTGGAGAAATATAAGATAGAAATGGTATCTACTCAAGTTTCATCAGATCATTATAGAAGCTTGTACATGATTCAAGCCCATGTAAGTCCATTCTCCATTAATTCTCTATATATCTCCTTTCTTCTTCTCTTTTACTCAAGAAAATAACAAGCTAATAGTAAAAGTTAGATTTTAATTATTGGTATTAGTATGTGTTATGGTTAGGTTGGTCGTTCTGAAGATTGTGTTAATTAACTAGGTTTTCTAGTTATTAGCAGAAGAAAATACTAGTTTTGAACATCCTAAACCTAAATAAGGAGCATCTATTTGAGTCATTATATATCATAGCATACTAATCATCATTAATGTCAGGGAAATGTGACACACACAAATAAAGACACTAGTTTTTATTACATAGTTCGTCGAGTCCAAATATATTTATTTTGGCAAATTAAATTTGTCTCAAAATGTTTAAGGGTTTAGAAAAACAAGAAGTATTTAACAGTTTTCTTTTTTCAGATTCAACTTTACTACTGCTCTAATTGTGTGAAGTGAGATATTTACTTCAAATAGAAATAAATGGTAGTGGGTATTAAATATCTTTCTCAAAATATATCCAGGATAGTATTTTTTTTTTTTCTTTCTAAAAGCGTCCCTCACCTAGCCTGGCCCTAGGGTTTTGTTTGAAAATTTTCGCTTTGCGACGTAAACCACAATAGCGTTGATTTTCAGAAATTATGTTAATGACTTGGTTCTGAAAAATGTTGATTTGAATATTCATAGGCAACAGGTGGAAGTACATTGAATCAATTCTCCGAAGCATTGACAGTGGAAGAAATATACAAACAAGCAGCAGGAGAGATAATGTTGTGGGCAACTTCCAAATGATACAGCTATAAAATACGAGAGTTGAAGAATTTTGCGATTTTTATTTTATATACGGAGAGGAGGAATGAAAACAGTGGAATTTGGTTCATTTTCTTCCAAAGATAAAGAAAATTCTTGGTTTCAGCAGTGGCAGCTATAAGTAAAATATAGCGAGGTTTTATTTTATGTAGATGCTGTAAGAGCTCAAGAATATCATGTTACTTAGCTTTTATTTATTCTAATAATTATCTAGTTCTTCTTTTTTTGTAATTTTGTCCCTTCAGAAATTAAAAAGAAAAAGAAATTGCAAGCTTAAACTATCATCAACTAGGATGGATAATAGGATGGGGAAATGCGAAAAGATGCTACTATTGACTATTGCTGAAATTCATCCACTAGTATTTCTCAGTCCTAATTTGTTGTACGGTATATTTAATTTTAGTAACAAACAATTAGTGCAAGAAGGTGGGAAAATAGTCTTATTATAATAGGATATTTTACTAACTTTTGAAGGTTTGTAGGACTAGTGCAAGAAATACTTGTTATAACTTATAGGAAGTTTGAATTTTTTTGTTATTCTTACATCAATGATGAAGAAAACGTGAGAAAAATGTCGAATATACATATGGTATGTGCTTGCTTCCATCAAGAGGTGAACTTATCTCTGGGCAGTTCCAAATTGGTTGAGGGATATTTTAGATTGTTCTTCACCTACAATAAATAGGATATCGATCTTTCATTTCTTATAAGAAAAAATATCAACTTTACCCTTCTACTTTCCAAATAGTTTTATATTTAACCTCCATTTTACTTTACACAAAAATAAAACAATAAAAAAACGTTAAAAATGCCTCTATCTTTAATGAAACTCCAGTTGGGACGAATTAGTTCAATACTTGCAACAACGAGGGAGAGAAGGGTGAATTCAAAAATAACCAGATTTGCAAGTGGTAATTAAAAAATAACCATAATTTCAAAAGTAATCAAAATTTAGCCACTTTTTATGTAAAGATAAATCTGAACGAAAATATTATTCAAAATTCAAAAAATATTCCAGCATAATATACAGGAGTTCCAGCATAATATGCTGGAAGTTTATACACAGGTGCTCCAATCTCCAGTATATTATACTGGAACGGAATTCCCGTATGTTGGAGTTTCAGTATAATATGCTGGATGTTCATACACAGGTGCACCAATCTCCGGTATATTATGCTGGTGTGTTGCAGCAAAATAGTGGCTATTTTTCAAGGACTTTACAAACGCTGACTATTTTTCAATTATCAGTCCGAAAACTGGTCAACCCGAGCTATTTTCACGGGGGAGAATGGTAGAACTTTTAACTTCAATTGGGATAGGGCGTGACCCAACAATTAGACTTGTCCAACACTATCACGGTATTATGTAAACATGGGTAGAAATGACATCATGTAGCCGTTCTAAGGGGCTGCTATTTAAGAATTAGCCAGCTTATCCTTAATTTATATTTTCAGAAAAAAATAAATACTGCTTAATCCCTAAATACCAGCCCTACAAATGGTTGTTTGGGTACTTCCCCCAATGTAAGGGGCTACAGAATTTGAGCTTGTTTGGCCAAGTTGCCAAAAATTATTTATTTTGAAAAGTGCTTTGTTCAAAATTGCTTTTTTAAAAAAGAACTTTTGCAATATAACTATGTTTGGCCAATTCATTTGAGTAGTACTTTTTGCAAGTTCATTATGTTTGGCCAATCTTTTAAATAAGTACTTTTAAGTATTAAATTACGAAAAATGATAGTAAAAGTTTAATTTGCGATTAGTATTACTTAGAAAAGAAAATTAAATTTAAATATTTATTATAAAAGAATTTAATTAAAATATAAAATGTGAAGTAAAAATATAACTTAAAAATTTCAGTCAATATAAAATATAGTGATTTCAAAGCATTAACATTGAATGTTTCGTATTACTTATCCTTTACATGATAATTTAAATATATCAAAATGTATCATTCAATATAAATTTAAAATCTACTCTTAGGAATATGAGAAAGAGAATAAAAATATGATTAAAATAAAAAAAAAAAGAGAAGAAACGTATAGTGGAAATAAAAAGAAAGAGAAAAGGTAAAAGTAAAAGAAAAATATTAAGCTAATGAGGGATAATTTGAAAAATATAAATTTATTGTAAGGTTATTCTTTTCTAGAACAAAATTAATTTTCTGCATTTCCTTCTGCTTCTAGTACTACTCATAAGTATTTTTTTATTTTGGCCAAACATCTTAAATTTTTCAAAAAGTATTTTTTTGATCAAATAGGCTCATAGATTCAAAAACAAAATCTTTTAGCCTCCCACAAGCTTGGCCAAACAAGCTCTTATAACCTGTTTGGCCAAGCTTCTAAAATCAGCATATTTTGAGAAGTGCTTTTCTCAAAAGTACTTTTTAAAAAAGTGCTTTTGGTGAGAAGCAGTCTGTGTTTGGCTAATTAATTTGAAAAGCACTTTTGATCAGTAATTAGTGTTTGGCCAAGCTTTTGAAAACTGCTTCTAAGTGTATTTTTTTTCAAAAGTGCTTTTGGAGAGAAGTTACTTTTTTGTGCTTCTCAAAAACTATTTTTGTTTTTTCTCAAAAGCACTTTTTTTCTTCCAAAAGTTTGGTCAAACACCTCAATTTTTGGCCAAAAAAGCACTTTTGGCCCAAAAATAAGGTTGGCCAAAACAGGCTATTAGAATGCAATCCTTTTCGTTCATTGTTCAATGAAGCCCAATAAGGAACCTTTCTTTGCATTGCGCATTCACTCACTTCCAAAGACTGGCGGAGCTTGAAATAGGAGAGTCAATGCATCTAATTTTTGTTGTGATTTCGGACGTCGATTTCTTCAATTTTTGGAACTAAAATCAAAATATTTAGATATTATATAAAAATTAACTTATAATATTTTTTACAATTAATGTAACAAAGTTTAACAAAAATGTCGTTACATAATTTATTTATTTATTTGGTTAATACATAAAAAATTACTTGACTCGGTGAACAATGACGATGTCATTTTTTTAGACAAAGATATGCATAGAAGGATATCTCCTCGCACTCATCACTAATTTGCGTTGTAGTCAGAATTGTGGTGCATATCTAAAGACGATCTAGATTTGCATGTTTGTCCATGTTTATACCATAGGAACAATAACAAATGAGAAAAAGTGGAAGAGAAAATGGTTGGAGCATGTGACCACAAAATTGACACTAGAACGGGGAAAAATCCAAAACCCCATGTGATTTCATTTCAATTGTCATATTCCATTACATAACCTCCATACTTTACTGTGGCACTCACTACTACTTACTAACCAATGTTTCTTCAAACAAATAGGTTACGCGCTTTGCGCGTGTGACAATATTAATAAGTAAATAATTTTAAAAAATAATATAAATATTATTAGATTATATTTTTGAGTTATATAAAATTATAAGACAGTACAAATTAAAGAAAAATTTCTTAAAATGATGAATATTGTTCCCATTTCTCAATAAATGAAGATTTGTCCAACAGAAGATTTTATTATGAGGAGTTAGGTTGAAATAATAAAAATTCATGTTATATGCAAATAATAAATTCTAAAAATGAGAGGTGTTGAATTAATTGCAACAAATAACTTAATATGCAAAAGAATATAGTAAGACTTTTGTCATTTGTTTGACAGAATATAAAAACGAAACATAGGGAATGATTATAATATATGATTAAATCATTTCTAACAAAATAAAAAAAGGCAAAGACTTGAAAATAATTATGGCTTCAAATAACGAAAGAATTTAATAATCAAAATTTTAGTAGATTTCAAATTTCTAAATATTAGGATAATAATTTAATTACGATTTTATTCAATGTAAAATTTATTTTTAAAAGGCGAACAATATTTCGTTAAATGTCTTTGTGCTTTTAATATAGTATAGATATAGATAGCTATAGATATAGATATAAATATAAATATATAGGTACGCGTGTTGCGCGCGTACCCCATATTAATAAGTATAGTACTTTAGAAAATCATATAAATGTTATTAAATTATGTATACCTGACGTGTAATTATTAGGTGTCATTTTGAAAATATTTCTAAAATTTAATATTAAGTTAAAGAATATAATTATTATGAATATTGTTATAATTTTTATCTAATTATAGTTTTTCGAATGTGTACCTATATTTTGGTATAGAAAATTTATTTGCTTAAAGGGTAATGACATACTATTGTATACACAAAGAATGAAACATAAAATAAACACTCGCGTCAGAATATTTATATATAAAGAATGGATCTTACGTGTAAATTTTCAAGACATGATACTTTTACATTTTCACCCCATTCAAGTAGACTTTTAATGGTCCGGTCCTCTCAAAAATTGCTACGCATAACTCTCCAGGCAACTATTTTGGAGCTCATCTTTGTCAAAAGATATAGAAGATTGAGATCATGAAGGTTTGAATGTACTGGCAACTGGCAACTCAACCTTATCTTTCGTTGATATTCACATGCCGCATATATTTGAATTAAAAGTTATGGCTAATTGCAATACAAGGAAAACCTATATGTGGTTGTTTTTTACCAAATAAACTTGAAATTTTAATACAAGGAAAACATGTATGTGGTTGTTCTTACCAAATAAGATTGAAATTATGATTCTTCTAGCAATAAGTAGGAACAAAACTTTATTAATTAAGATTGAAATTATAATTCTTCTAGCATTAAGTAGGAACGAAATTTTAATCAAATATGATTGAAATTATGATTTTTCTAGCATTAAATAGGAACGAAACTTTTGAAAAATAAAAACGTGTTTAATTTGAACGAAAAAACGTTGAGAAAAAGCATAAAAACTTACCAAATATAAGAACCATCCTCTTAATTATATTTGATTTTGAATCCCAAAATATTAGGAGTTCTACACAGATCAAATAAGGAAAAGTTTAATAAGAAAAAAATTATTTGATTTCCAAATCCTAAATATTAGATTTTTTTTTTTATTAAATAACAATCTTATCCAATGTGAACTCTAATTTTAAAGGCAAACAAGACTGAATGACATTTCGCTAAAGTCTTCGTGCATTT